ACTTACGTTGTGATTTTTATTTTCATCAGGGATCTGATGGCGATTTCGCGTATTGCTCGCAAATGAGTGATAAAAAGTATCAAAATAACGGAAAGATATCTTTTTCATGTTGTCTTTTCGACAATACAAAAAGATATCTTTCAGTCGACCTTTTGCTTTGCGAAAATGACAACCATAGAAAGATGACGAAAAGATGTCCTTTTTAAGTTGTATTTTCGACAAAACCAAAATATGTTTTATAGACATCTTTTGGTCTTGCTGAAAAGACAATCTAAAAACAATGTCTTTTCGTCGTCCTTTAGACGATTTTCGCTTTGTTGAGAAGACAACTTAAAAAAGACTTCTTTTCGTTATCTTTTAGTATTTTGTGCTGTCTGGGAAGTATCTTGAAGTACGATAATCTTCACGAGGTATTGCACAATTATGTTTGTAATATTACTTGCTGACCTTGAATAAGTTAATGGTCTTGATTTTTTATAACAACATATGTAGCAATACACGCGTACGTGAATAGCAAAAATATCTTTATACTTTATTACTTTGTAATGAAATACGTTAAGTAACCACGTACACGTAAAACATATATTATAAAAAGTGGATTAGTTCAAAAATAGTATAAGTTCAAAACTATAAAAAACAGCATTGCTGTTTCTAGAAAATAAAATAATAATCGTATTATTTAAATCAGAATTACTGTCTTTCGAGTAAATAGATGCTTTCGGATTGCTTCTTCAATGACTTATTATATAAATTTTTACGTTTAATCAAGTATTGTCAATAAATCGCCACTGGGAGACATACATATTTTCCTCATCGTGTTAAAATATATAATTAAAAATTAACATCTCAATTTGATATAGCTACGAAATTTTAAAGTCTATAGTATTCGAAATATCTTCTTAAATACATTTTTTTTTACTAACTTCAAGATTTATTGTATGCTTTGGAAACTGAGATACAGCTCAAGATGTTTATTAATAAAGGAAAATAAAGTAATATTTATTAACATTTAATAGTATTTAATTTCAAATTTTAATTATAAACAAATGTTCGAATTATCGCCCACTTGATTCAATACACGCTTGGATGCATCGGATTATGAATTATCGCACTCTTTCAAAGATCCCGAGATAGTTGCGAGTACAAAAGATGCGCTGGCGTAGTATATATTTATTGGCCATTAGAACTTCATAAATCAAGATCCTAAAGTGTCCGTAGCATTCAACTGAAACATTTATCAATTAAAAACGATATATTATAAAAATTATTCTTGATTTTTTTTTTTATCTAATATTAATAAATGTATTTTTCGAGAACTTACCAAGCCCGCAAACTTCTGTAAAAAAAAAATAATTCCGTTTATATTATAATTAAAACATACACGCAAGATATTTCAGATTAATAATTTTAAAAAATATGAAATGAAGAGACAGAGAAAATTTTCCACATTTTGCTATATCTGAAAAACGCATTTTAACTATAACACTATAGAGGTTTAACTACAAAAATTGCTTATATACAATTGTTTACTCATAAATTGTATAATTCTGAAATTAAGACACATTGAATATTAATTTAATCCTTACATAAAATAATTATATTACGTTAAATTAAGACTCGAATATTTAGTTACCTTGTATGTGCAAATATATATACTCCTAACTTTTTAAATTTAATACATATGCATTACTAGTAAAAAAAATAGTAAGTATTATTTTAGAGCTAATAAAAATTTAAAAAAGTATAATTAAAAATACATGTTCTAAGTTTTCAGATTTAAAGTACAATTAACAACAAAATGTGTAATAATTTCTGTAAGCAAAACAATGCTTATGCTGTAAGCATATGGTTTTATTCCCTTTTGTGTATTTCAGAAATAAATAAACGTAATATAGAAATATATCATATAGAAGTACGATATAATACGTAGAATTAAAATTTATATTTGATTAATTTAAGATAATATGATATATATGTATATATATTTTTGTAGTCCATATTTTAGAGAGTCTAATAATTTCTCATTTTAAATGCAAATTGTTCTTACGCAACTATTCTAACGAACTTAGCAGCATTTTTCAGAAACAATTATCCATTAACAACGATATATTATAAAAATTGTTCTTGATTTTTTAATATCTAATATTTAATAAATGTATTTTTGGAAAACT